TCGAGTAGCCGGGATTGGCTGGAAAGCGCCACGTCCCCGCCAGCGCGCCCAGCTGCGTGGACCGAATCCCCGTCCAGCACTGGCCCTGAGTCCGGCGGGGACGGCGGCCCCAGCCCCCTTGCCCCGGGCAGGGCGGCTTGTGGGCGCGGCCGCCTGCCTCCGCTCCTGGGTCGCAGCGCGTGACTGGGCCTCGGCGGGGTTTCTTGGATGACCCTGCTGGTTACCTCCTGCCCCAGCGCCTGGGGTTGGATCCGTCCCACGGTGCTGTGAATGAGAAAGGGGCCACTTGCTAAACCCGAGCCGCTCTGGGGAGGCCTCCCCAGCGCGCCTTACAAACTCAGAGGCCCAAAGCAACCACACCGGATAGTCTGAACACAAAAGAAGTCTGTCTAAAAGCGGGTCAGGGTGGGTGATAGCTTCCTTGACAAAGGTCAATCTTTTTTATATTATTTTTTATTTTTTAAAATATGTTTTACTGATTTTTTACAGAGAGGAAGGGAGAGGGATAGAGAGAAACATCGATGAGAGAGAAACATGGATCAGCTGCCTCCTGCACACCTCCTCCTGGGGTTGTGCCCGCAGCCAAGGTACATACATGCTCCTGACCGGAATCGAACCTGAGACCCTTCAGTCCACAGGCTGACGCTCTATCCACTGAGCCAAACCGGTTAGGGCAATCGTTTTCTTTTTAATATGTTTTTATTGATTTCAGACAGGAAGGCAGAGGGAGCTACAGCAATGATGGGGATGGAGCCCGCATGTGCCTTGACGGGTTATAGAACCCTGACCTCCTGGTTCATAGGTCGATGCTCAACCACTGAGCCACACGGCCTGGCAACAATGGTCAATCTACCTTAACTGAGGCTATTGCCTAAAAAAATATTTTTTGATTTTTTTTTTTTTTTTTTTTTTTTTTTTTTACAGAGAGAGGGAAGGAGGGAGAAAGAGGGAGAAACATCGATTTGTTTTTCCACTTATTTATGCATTTATTGGGTGCTTCTTGTATGTACCCTGACTGGGGATCAAACCGGAAACCTTGGTGTGTCCGATGATGCTCTAACCAACTGTGCTACCAGGCTAGGGTCTCTATTGTCGTTTTGCATCTAAAATAACATACCTTTGAAATGTCCAAGTAATCTTTTCCAGACCCCCTCAGTGCACAATCGTGGGCACCAGAGCCCGAGACCACAGAACCCCTCATTGTTTTCTTGTCCCTCGCATACCATCTCTATATGCTGTAAATTTTAATTATTCACTATCCTGTACCCACCAATGTAAAAAATGTTTTTCTCCATCTTGCTTTTTAGCCAATCTCAGAGATTCCCCAGTTTTGTTCTCTCCTACTTCCCTAATCTACCACCAAGGGATTTCATATAACCCTCCTTACATCTCCTCCTTTTATTCTCATGTATAAAATAAGCTACAGCCCTAGCTGATTTGGCTCAGTGGAAAGAGTATTTTTTGGCCGACTGAAGAGTCCTGGGTTCGATTCCAGTCAAGGGCACATGCCCTGGCCCTGACCGGTTTGGCTCAGTGGATAGAGCATCAGCCTGCGGACTCAAGGGTCCCGGGTTCGATTCCGGTCAAGGGCATGTACCTTGGTTGCGGGCACATCCCCAGTGGGGGATATGCAGGAGGCAGCTGATAGATGTTTCTCTCTCATCGATGTTTCTAACTCTCTATCCCTCTCCCTTCCTCTCTGTAAAAAATCAATACATTAAAAAAAAAAAAGGGCACATGCCCGGGTTGCGAGCTCAGTCCCCAGTGGGGGGCATGTAGGAGGCAGCTGATCAATGATTCTCTCCCATCATTGATGTTTCTATCTCTCTCTCTCTCTCACTTTATTCCTCTCTGAGATCAATAAAACCATATTTAATAAAATAAAATAAGCTACAAAACTGCCATTCTCCAGAGCATTTTCTCAATCCATTTAGATTTTGCTTCCTGGCAATTGTCATCAGTGGCTCAAATAAATTCATAAAAATTGTCTACAGGTTTGAACATTTCTTATGCCAACAGTATCAACCGCTAACTGTATTGAACAACGCCAACTTCTTTCCCTTTAGCACTACCTCCGTGATGGGGTCACCTAGAGCATGAGGAAAGTGAGGGACAGTGAAAACCCAGAAGGAGTAATAGATTGCAGGGTTGGCAGGGTGGAAGGATATTGGACTCAGGGGGAAAGACAGGAGGTGGTATAGCTGAAGAATGGCAATAATGGATTATTGACAAACTCTAGGGTAAAATCAGGGGAGTCAGTGGCTGAGGAGGGTGGAGACGAGACCATTGGCAGCAGTTCAAAGAACAGGGACCATGGGAAGAATCATCTATATGGCTATCGAAATCACTAAGAATTAGAACCTAACGCTTCCTTGGAGCTTACATCCAGGAGCTTACTTTTTAGCCCTCCAACAATTTCAGTCTGAAAACCACTTCAGTGAAGAAAAAAGACCCTCCTAGGAAATCTTGAATCAAAGCAAGATCTCCAAAAACACTTTCCAATTGGAAGGGTGGGCAGCCTTTCTGAAATACTCATAGCCTGGTTTTTATTGAAGGTGAAATACTGCCCATTTTAAAAAGAGGCTGGTCCATGGGCCATCTGACAGACACTCATTAATAACTCTCTCGGTCTATAATCGATGAACCTCTGATTTCACCTGTGCTCGGGGCCTGTATGTCCTCTCTTTGGAATTGATCATTTAATGAGCACTAACAAGGTGTGTTGACATTTCAAGGGGGTGTCATATATGAAATAAATCTAGCCAGAGTTTGTAGGGCTGAGACATGAGCCAACTTAGCAAGTTTAAATACAAAAGAGAAATCCCCTCTATCTCACACATCTTGCCTGACTACCTCCTGCAGGAATCTTGTGTAGTCTCACACCCAAGCCTCCATTTGGGACAACAGGGCTCAGCTAGCAAGTCCAAGTTAGGGATGGGCTAAGAAAGAAGGTCCCAAACTTAACTCAGAAAAGAGGGACTAACAAGAAAACCTGAGGGGTGGGTGGAGGTGGTAGAGGGTACAGAGGGGATAAATGGTGATGGGAAAAAACAACCCCAACTTCTTTGAAATGAAGAAACATGAAAAAAAGAAAAACGGGCCAAAAGGGAAAGAGAGAGGCCCTTGGCTAGAATTCCTATCCGGCCCCTTATACTGGTCTAAGCAGAGAAGAAAACACATTTTTTTTTTTTTTTTTTTTGTATATGGCCTTACTTTCAAGTTTTAAATTAGGTAAATAGAAGCTTGGTGAGGCATCTCTCAGAGGTATATTTCTTCTCTTGTTCTCCAGCTTCTCTCCCAAGTCTCTCCTGTTTCCTTTTCTCACCACCGCTCCCTGTCTCCCGTCTTTCCTGACTTCCTCCCCTCACCCTCCTCTTCACCTCCGTCTTGTTCTCTTCCACCTCTCCTCTGGTCCTGCTCCCCTCTCCTCCCTTTTCTCTCTCTCTCGGTGGCCCTGGCCCTTCCGAGAGCACGTCTCCTTGTGCCTGCCTGGTGGTGGAAAGGAGGCGAGGAGGTCACAAAGTTACGTGCAGGATAATGCTTTTCATCTGGAAGCCAAGCTCCCAAATGGGTCTCCAAGGAAGGGCTATGCTATCCGCGTGAGGTGATGCTAGCTTTTCCTTGGCTGCAGCTTTCTCCTTCTCTCCATCCAGACAGAGTCCCTCAGGAAGTTGAATGCTGCAGGGCGGTGTTGGCGAGGGCCGCTTCGATTCTCCCCGGTGTGAAAGGGTGGCTCAAATAGAATTTCCTGTTAATTTGAGAGAGAACAAATTCAATAAGATATAGGTTGCCTAAGTAGCTCTTCTGTGGGCACACAGATATTTGTGTTAGTTTTTTAAATTGTCAACTATTAATAACAGGTATCTTATAAGAGTTAGTGGTTTATTAATAATATTTGATTTTAGAAAACAGAAACCACTCTACCTATCTCCGGTTACACCAGTGGTTCCCAACACGGGGCACATGACCCACGGGGGGCAATTTGATTTTTAAGGGGGGCGATTTGAGAATGAGTTATTAACAGTGAATTTTTTGCATTTCTTATGGTTCTAGGGGCCTCATATACAGTATATAAATATATATTGTGACATATTTATGCATTTCAGTTCTCTATTATATGTTTTGAAATGTTATTTGCTATTTTTTTCATATCACTTCATATTTTTACTATTTTTAAAACAATTTCTTAGTGATTTCTTCCTCAGTACTTCAACTGTCCTTTCATTCTTTTATTTTTCTCTTTCATGGATGCCATGTTCTTTGGAAGTTTGTTTAGACCAAGTTAATGGCCTTTTAGGGAAAAAATGACCATGTGGGTTGCTTAGTGTAAAAAAAAAAAAACCAAAACAAGTTAATGGCCTTTTAGGCTTCCTCCACATGGATAGGAGTTCACTTTTTGAATAGTAAGAATTATATGTCACGGGCGGGGGATGAGGGGGCATCAGGATGTTAGAGATGCTTAGATGGGGCATAGCCAAAAACAGGTTGGGAACCACTGGGTTAGACGGAGGCACATAGGGAGTAGTTAATGAATGTGTGTTAAATGAATACATGGATGGATGGATGAGCCTTGGAGCATGGAGAGATAAGGGCTGGGACCAGGGAAGTCGCCCCTACTCCCCACCCCTCCTCACTTTCTGCAGCAGGCGGTTGGGGCTCCCCAAGAGCTCAGAAAAGGAAAAGGGTCCTCACCTCCTCAAAGGCAGAGCCCACGGAACTGCAGAGGCAGCCCTCATGTCTCCACCCACAGAGAGAAAGCAGCTCTAGCGACAACAGTGCCATCCCAGTCTCTATCCCCTCAGAGCCACTTTGTAGGAACTCACAAAGGCCTCTGGGGGCTCCCGAGGTGCCACACTCAGCGTTTCACTCAGCCCAGTTGGAGGTAAAGAAGAATAGGGCAGGGGGAAATGGCTGAAGTGCTGTGGCTGGCACCCCCAACTCCCACCCCACAGCCTCCAGGCAGTACCCTGGGGACCCAGGATCTGAACCCCTGCCTGAGGTCAGACTCCAGGTCCGTCCCGAGGCAGCCAGATGAATCCCATGACCGTACCTATGAATAGAGTCAGCTGTGGCCTCGTGGAGGCTGCCAACGTGCTGAGGAGTGAGAGGGGCTGCGGCCCAGAGGGGTTCTCCCTTTCCCACTCTCCATAGGTGAAGGAATCCCTCCAACTGAGGTCGCGGGTGCACGGAATGCTGTCTTCACTGGAATTATCTTTCTCTGCGTCAAAAAGAGGAGGCATTTGTTTGCACTTTAATTCACAGAGCATGCTCACAGAGTACGGCCACCATCTGCGGGGTGTTTATTACGGGTCAGGTACTATTCCAAACAATTATGTGTACTAATACTCATTTAATCCTCACAGAGAGCCCGAGAGGTCAGCACTGCCGTATGAGGACTCTGGGGCCCAGCAAGGTTAAGTTACTTACCCAGGGTCACATGATGAGGCAGAGCCAGGATTCAAAGCCAGCCCGCCTGGCTCCGGAGCCCATGATTTGAGCACTATATCGTGGGAACAAGGCAATGCCAGTGAAAGGGAGGAACCAGTGTGGCTGGAGAGGTTAACTGCGTGAACTTGCCCAGGAGATTCAGCTAGCTGCACTAGCAATGGGCTTGAACCCAGGTGGCCTTAAGCCAGATCCTGTCCTCGGTCCACTTGGCCTCAGCTCCTCCAAGGATGGCTCACAGCCCAGCAGCTTTGGCATCGCCAGGGATCATGTTAGAAATGCAGAGTTTCAAGGGAACACTTTGTAACCTCTGTATGAATGTCTCTATCTGCTGTGCTATGCACCTGAAACTAATACAAATTGGTGTTGAATGCAAAATGTAATCGAAATTTTTTTTAAAAAAAGAAGAAATGCACAGTTTCAGGTTCACCCAGAGCCACTGGATCAGATTCTGCATTTTAACAAGACCCCAGTCTGCACATTCAGGTCTGGGAAGCACTTCAACAGGTCACACCACCTGCTGATGGAGAGTTGAAAGGTTTAGCCACCCAGGCAAGCTTCGGGATACTGGTTTTTCATAATGTAGCTCTCTCTCTCTCTCCAAAAGTTCCAAGAGGCTGGAGTGTGACTCTCCTTCTGACTGAGAGGGTACACTTCTTGGTCCAAAGAGAAAACGAGTTTCTTCAGCTCCAAGGAAAGAGAAGGGTCCTGAGGGCTCCCCAGGATGACTATTTGAAATCAGCACAGGGACATCTCGGGAGTGGCGGTTCCTGTGACACCAGATAGCCTATGACTCTGAAATTCTGGCTGTTCTCTGAAGTCCTAGAATGTAAATATTGTCTATTTCTGTTTTCTTCAGCCTTAACCTCAAAGGGTATGGTGTGTGTGTGTGCACGTGCGCATGTGTGATTGGATGCATGTGCAAAAACAGAAATGAATCACCGTTTTATTATCAGTTACATAACATGAGAAGGCATTCACAGATTTGAAGAAAATGTGGGCCAGCATCAGCTCCACTCACATTTAGAACGGGGGCTGGGCCTGGCAGCCTCCAGGCTGGATTTGGCCTGTAGATATGTTTTGTGTGCCCACTTAGTGTTGGCTTATACTGTGCTTTAATTTTTTTATGGGCAGGGAATATGTCACATAAAAATCCAGATTTTTGGCTTCTCTTGAAAAAACCAGAGTATCTAGCAGCACCAGGCCTGTGTTCTAGCATGGAAACAATTAATTGAAGCCTTAATTAAAACCTCCACTTTCTCATTGCCACTGTCCCTGACACTCCCTATTGTCTCCTCAATGCTGAAACCAAGTGTCAGCCCAGCTGCTGTTTTACTTATGATAGAGTTGAGAGAAAAGTCAACCATTCCTTAGATCCATGACATGTAGCCTCTTTACCCATTTATACCATCTGCAGACAGTTGAGTGTGTAATCCCTGGCCTGAATGAAAGTTGGCAGAGCGCCCCTGGGATCTACATACTCCTCTAAATTTCTAAATATAACATGAAATTCTGGCTGCTTCCTGAGCCAATTTGGAGGAGTAATTTATTAATGGTGTGGTGCATGGATATTTACTGAGCTATTGTGTTCCCAGTCTGGTGCTTGCCACTGTGGATAATTCAGGGGCGTGGAAGAAATTGTAGTATTAATTGAAGAAACAAGATTGAAACCTATGAAACAATTAGGGAATCATGTAACAAAGGTTATGACCAAGGAAAGTTTTGTCTGGGCAGAAAGGTGTTGTGAGATGTACCTGGAAGGAAAGGTAGGATTTAGAATGCAGCATCAGGGGGAGGGGGCAGAGGGAGGATGTCTAAGGCATGGACAAGGACAGCCCACGTGTGGCTAGAGTGGAAGATTTGGGCTGGAGAAGGAGATGAGGCAGAGGGCACCTAATTGAGGAGGAGAAAGTGACCAGTGAGATGGGTAAGAGAAGGGAAGTTAATGTAGAGTCATGCATGCCAAAATGAGTGAATTTGCCCAGCTGGCATGGCTCTGGTTGAGCATCAACCTATGAACCAGGAAGTCACAGTTCGATTCCCAGTCAGGGCACATGCTCAGGTTGTGGGCTCAAGAGTGTGCAGGAGGCAGCTGATCAATGATGCTCTCTCATCATTGATGTTTCTTTTTTTTTTATTATTATTATTAGTTAAGGTATTACAAATGTGTCCTCATCCCCCCCATTAACCCCCAACCTCCCCCACACACACACTCATGCTCCCATCCCCCTGTTGTCCATGTCCATTGGTATGGCTTATATACATGTATACAAGTCCTTCGGTTGATCTCTTCCCCTTACCCCCACCCTCCCCGATGTTTCTTTTTTTAAAAATATATTTTTATTGATTCAGAGAGGAAGGGAGAGAGAGAGATAGAAACATCAATGGTGAGAGAATCACTGATCGGCTGCCTCCTGCATGCCCCCTATTGGAATCGAGCCCACAACCAGGCATATGCCCCTGACTGGAATCGAACCCGGGACTCTTCAGTCCGCAGGCTGATGCTTTATCCACTGAGCCAAACCAGCTAGGGCTCATCACTGATGTTTCTATATCTTTCTCCCTCTCCCTTCCTCTCTGAAATCAATATATATATATATGTGTGTGTGTGTGTGTGTTTTTAAATGAGTGGATTTGGGGTAAACCAGAACCTGGAGATAAACAGGGAATCAGCTGCTGTTCCAGTCACACGGACTCTGTCTCTTCCCAGAATGCCCTGACTCTAATGCTTTGGCCAGCCTACTTGTCCTCATCCTCTGTGACTTGGCTCAGACCCCAGGCCTCCGGGACAGCTTCCTGGGAGGAGGGAGGCACCCTGCCTTTGTGCCGCTGTGGCACCCCAGGCGTGAGCTCTGAGTGCTGCCTGGAAGAAGAGGTTTTGTAATCTGGGGATTTACCCATCTGACCCCACCAAATGATAAACCCCTTGGAGGGGCTGCTGTGTCTTTCTTCACTGGGACGCCAAAGCCTGCAACAGTGCTTGGCACTTACCAAGTACTCAGGTGCATGTTTCTGAATGAGCGAATGAATGAATGAACTAGAGGATTGCTGTAGTTCAGGCAAGAGGTCATAGGTGGACGAGGGGAGGATCTGCCGGTATAGGAAACATTTCAAAGAAAGAAACTGGGAGGATTTGGTGCCAAGTTGACTATGGTGGTCAGAGAGTCTAGAGGAACTCAAGGTAAAGTATGAAAGGACATCCTGACAGCTAGAAACTCTGGGATGGGGAGCGAGAGACAATTCCATTCCTGCATCTGCAGAGCAAAAGCTTCTCTGAGACACGGTGCCCTTTACCCTGTTTACCTGAGTTGTCCTTTTTGGTCTTGGTCTTTTTGCTTCTCCTGGAACTCCAGCCATTTCAGGATCAAGGAAATGAAGGGCAAAGGGGGAAAAAATAGAGATGAAATTCTCATTTTAAATCTTGTTTCTCGTTATATTTTTTCCTGATGCTAAAACTTTAGAGGCAGATATAAGCTGTGGCTCTATTGGGTAAGTGAGACACATATTAAAATACCAGAAGGAAACTAGGGAAGGGGAAGTGGGGAGGGGTGGGGTGGGGTGGCGGGGAGCAGACCCCGGCGGCTGACTTGGCAGAGGAGGAGTGGGTGTGGTTCCATCTGCTGAGTCCTGTGTCTCAGCCATTTATTTCAATTGCTGTAACCTGCATACTGTTGCCAACACACAAAAGCTGATACAATTGCAACCAGACTAGAGAGTCTGCCTGAGTGAGGAGAAAAGTCATCCCTCAGGGCTGCATTCTGGGGAATTAAGGACAAGAAACGAAATGACCGTACAAAGCCATTATCGAGATAACAGCAGAGCAAGAATGAACTTCCTCCTGCTTCTCACATCCCGTTGATCCATTTTTACATGACAGCCCAGACTGGGTTCCCATAGCTTCCTGGCTGGTCCCTCTACACCTATTCTCCCTCTCTTCATATCAAATGTCACTGCAACAGCCAGCATGACCTTTTCAACATGTAAATTGGATCATGTTACCTCCCAGTTAAAAATGGTGCTAAGGCTCTCATTACACTCAAAGTCTCAGTTCATTTGCATGGCTTCCCAGGTCCTGCCTGGTTTGGCCCCTGCCCACTTTTACTAACGTCCTTCTGTTGCCACTCCTCTCCCCACACTGGGCTTCCTCCCCTTTCTCTAAACTCATCACGCTTCTTCCTCAGGATGAAGTGTCAGTCTTACACTCATTTGTGCCTTTAACTTGTACCACCTTTTCCGCCCTTTATCTGGCTAGTGCCCAAATAAAGGTTTTAATCTCCTCTGGCCTTCTGGAAATATTCAAAGCTCTCTGTGCTAGAGATTGCCAATGGGCCCCCAGGATTTCTTCTTCCCTCCTCCCTTGGGGGCAAGCATCTACTTCTGTATTGGGCACGTACAGAATAGAGAAGGCATTTCCCAGCTTCCATTGCAGCTGAGTGTGGTCATGTGACTGAATTGTGGCCTATGAATATAAACAGAAGCCGTCCTTCAAATAGTAATTTTAAAAATTTAAACTTTTAACATTTTGAGACAAAAAGTTACATCAACATATCTTGTTCTATTACAGTCCAGCACTCCCCAGCTCAGCAGTATGACATCTTATTCAGAAATTTTTAAAAAAAAATTTTAAATTTATTTAGGTGACACTTGATCCAGAAATTTCTTTTTTTTTTTTTTTTTTTTTTTTTTTTTTTTTAAATATATTTCATTGATTTTTCACAGAGAGGAAGGGAGAGAGACAGAGAGCTAGAAACATCGATGAGAGAGAAACATCGATCAGCTGCCTCCCGCACACCTCCAACTGGGGATATGCCCGCAACCCAGGTACATGCCCCCGACCGGAATCGAACCTGGGACCCTTCAGTCCGCAGGCCGACGCTCTGTCCACTGAGCCAAACCGGTTTCGGCCAGAAATTTCTTAAATTATAGATTTCTATATGATATGCAGAGTGGCGGCCCAGTAGAAATTCTTTAACAGTGGGCAACTAACAATTTTTCTTGTGTTAATATTTTTCTACTTCTAGCCCAAGGCAGCCTTAATAATACAAGTTAATATTTATTGAGAGTTTATTTAAATCTGCCTCTAAATCTGCTGAGGAGTATGTCAAGCACTTCATGCTTTGGGGCTCACTTAATCCTGACAATATCTGGATGCGGTTGGAACTATCATCATTTCCATCGTGCAGATCTGAAAACTGGCCCCGGAGAGTTCAGCAATGTGCCCAAGGGCTCACAGGCAGAGCAGAGACTTGGGCCCAGCTCTGTGTGAGCTCTGACCCACTCTGAGAGATTTATCTTCTCAGACTCTGTTGGTTTTCAGTTTACTAACGGCACTCTCAAAGAAAACTTTCTTTTTGTTGTTCTGTGTCTGAACTGCTGGTCCCTGTTGTGACAAAAATCTCTTCTTTGATAACTTTGTTTTTCTCTTCTGGTGATCATTACAATTTATTTCTGTCCTCCTTTTTTTTTTTTAAAAAAACAAACAAACAAAAAACAACAACCCACAAATCAAGTTCACTAGGGCCCTAGATCCCACTTAATCTTTGCTCTCTGGTTGTAGTCCCAGTGGAATAAATATTTTCAACTCCTGTCTCTCTCATACCAACCAGTCTTAAGACTCAAACCTTAAGTCATCTACACATACATGGACATTTCCTCAGGCATGGAAAAAAATTGGCCTGCACAATGGAGCTTTCCAGAACAGGCTACACATTGAGAAAACGACCATAGAAGATTCATAAAGTCCAATCAGAGGCCAGGTGAGTAGGTCAAGGAACTCACGGAGCAGACAGTGTTTTAAACAATGTTTTGTTTATTTCTCTGCGGGGACTAGGAATTGGATGAGAAATTAGGTTTTACTTTTTTACCGGTGTTACTAACTTATTCTTATTATTGGAGAGTTACTTTTATTTTCTTTTTTAATCCTCACCTGGGGATATGTTTATTGATTTTTAGAGAGAGGGGAAGGAGGAGAGAGAGAGAGAGAGAGAGAGAAAGAGAGAGAGAAGAAAGAGAAATATCCATCGATTGCCTCTTGTGTACACCCTGACCAGGGACCAAACCTGAAACCTTTTGGTGTGCTGCATGACACTCCAACCAACTGAACTACCTGGCCAGGGCACTTTTCATTTTTTATAAGATTCCTCCTCTGGAGTCAAGACTACTGTGCTGCCGAAACCGGTTTGGCTCAGTGGAGAGAGCCTCGGCCTGCGGACTGAAAGGTCCCGGGTTCGATTCCGGTCAAGGGCATGTGCCTGGGTTGCAGGCACATCCCCAGTGGGGGGTGTGCAGGAGGCAGCTGATCGATGTTTCTAACTCTCTATCTTTCTCCCTTCCTTTCTGTAAAAAATCAATAAAATATATTAAAAAAAAAAAAAAAAAAAAGACTACTGTGCTTGCTACGTGGAGGAAGAGAATATGGCCAAGAGAACTGGGAAAAGGTTGCCCTGAGTCAGGGATAACGCTGGGTCCTGAGTGGCAGTGTTTCATGCCCCTCCCTGTGCTCATTAACCAAGTTACTTGGTTTTTGGATCTCACAGCCCAGGCCATCTGGGCTGCAGGAAGGGATGTCAGACTGGCCTGATTTAAGTCATGTACCTGAACCGGTTGTGCTGGTGCAAGTCAGCAAAAATCAGAGAGAGGGCCTCACTCTCCCCCTTGGCCATCAACTGCAGGAGGCTCTCGCTGGGCTGGGAGGCTTGAGGTTTCTTCTGTACTAACTGGATGGGAGGGGGGAAAAAAGCAAAACCAGATGGTTAAGACCCTAGGCCGTGGTCGGCAAACTGCGGCTCGCGAGCCACATGCGGCTTTTTCGCCCCTTGAGTGTGGCTCTTCGTAAGCCTTAGGAGTGCCCTAATTAAGTTAACAACAATGTACCTACCTATACAGTTTAAGTTTAAAAAATTTGGCTCTCAAAAGAAATTTCAATCGTTGTACTGTTGATATTTGGCTCTGTTGACTAATGAGTTTGCTGACCACTGCCCTAGAGTCTCTGTATTTTCCTAATATCATGATCCAAACCCTAAAGTGTTAGAACTCAAACTGTTCCATTGGGTGGCCATGCCAGGGGTTCAGAGAGGCAATTCTGAGGCCATATCTGCTTATACGCCCTGGATTGTTATAACTATCCTTTGGTGCCCAAAGGATAACATTGTCATTGAATACTTTAGACATAATTTAGTACATAACCTATTCTCATTAATATACCTTAATGTTATCAATAGCCTATTCAGATGCTATTGGTTTTATATTTAAATGTAGGGGAATAAAATGTTTACTGTAGGAATTTAATGAATGTTTTAAAAATTGACTTCTCTAAGAAAAGTCGGATATTGAGCTGCTTTTTACACCTGACGTAAATTGCCTTCTTCCCTGTTGCCTGCGATACCCCGAAGGTGTTCTAGAAGTACAAGCTGCTCAGAGTCATCCATTCATTCTTTACTGAGTGCCAACTATGTGCCAGGCACTGGGGATAGAGTCGTGAAGAAGACAGATAAAAACCCCTGCATTCATGGAGTTCCTGTTGTAGCTCAAGTCAGTCTTACATCACACTCTAAGGCCTGGGGCAGAAAGGCCCTCGTGGCTTCACTGGTGAATTTTATTAAATACTTAAAGGAGTAATAGTACCAAGTCTTCATAAGCTCTGAAAATAGAGGAGGAGGAAATACTTCCCAACTCATTCAGTGAGGCTAGTATTATCCTAATACCAAAGCCAGGATATCACAAGAAAACTACAGACCAATATTTCTAACGAACGTAGATGCAAACTCCTTAACTAAATGCTAGCAAACCGAATCATGGGACATATAGAAGGGAGTATACATACACACCACGACTAAGTGAAATTTACTGCAGGAACACAAAGTTGATTTAACACTTAAAAATCAATGAATATAATACACTATTCTAATAGAATAAAGGGAAAACCACATGACCATCTCAATAGATGCAGAAAAAGACATTTGAAAAAATTTAATACCCATTTATGATAAAAACTCTCAATAAACAAGGAATAAAAGGGAATTCCCTCAACCTGATAAAGGGCATCTATAAAGATCCCACAGCTAGCATCATACTTAATGAAAGACTGAATGTTTCCCCCCTAGGATTGGGCATAAGCATGTCTGCTTTTGCCATTTCTACTAAACACTGTACTGAAAGTTTTAGCTAAGGCAATAAGCAATAAATAAACAAATGTGAATGAATTGGAAATGAAGTAAAATTGTCTTTTATTTGCAGATGACATATATATATATATATATATAGAAAATCACAAGGAACCACAAAAATACTATGTTTGATAACAAGATTAATATAAAAAATCAATTCCATATACTATCAATGAATGATGCAAACATAAAATTAATAAAACACAATTCCATTTAAAATAGTAGCCACAAAATAAAAAGATAGGAATAAATTTAACAAAAGAAATGCAGAACTTGTTTACTAAAAGCTAAAAAAACATTGCTAAGAGAAATGAAAGAAGATTGAAATAAATGGAAAGACATTCCATCCTATATAATAAAAGCCTAATATGCAAATCGACTGAACAGCAGAATGACCAGCAGAAAGACCGGTCACTATGATGCACACTGACCACCGGGGGCAGATGCTCAATGTAGGAGCTGCCCCCAGCCCGCAGGCGCCAGGCCAGCCAAGGCGGGTGCCAGTGGGGGCCTCCCAATCGCCCTGCCGGTCACCCCACAGATTGGCCCTGATTGCTGGTCAGGCCTAGGGACCCTACCCATGCACAAATTTCGTGCACTGGCCCTCCAGTATTCATATATTTGAAGACTCAATATTGTCAAGATGGCAATTCTCTTCTAATTGATATATATAATCAACATGTCCTTGTCAAAATCCCAGCGATCTATTTTGTAGAAATTGATAGGCTAATCCTAAAATTTATATGGAAATACAAAGGATTTAGAATAGCCAAAATAATTTGAAAAAGAACAAAATTGGAAGACTTACAACAGCCAATTTTAAAACTTACTATAAAGCTACATTAATCAAGACATCGTGGTATTGACAAAAGACTAGGCATACAGATTAATTAAACAGGATTGAGAATCCAGAAATAAATCCTTACATTTACTTTCAATTGATTTTTGACAAAAGTGCAAGATAATTTAATGGAGGGAAGGATAATTTTTTCAACAAATGCTGCTGGGTAAATTGTACATCCACATGTGAAAACACAAATACTTAGACCCTTTCCCACACCATACACAAATAGTAATGCATAAGGGATCATAGACTTAACTGTAAGAGCTAAATCTATAAACTTCTAGAAGAAAACATAGGATAAAATACTTGTGACTTGGGTTGAAAAAAAAAGTCTTAGCTACAACACCAAAAGCCTGATCTATAAAAGAAAAAAAATTGATAAATTGCACTTCATTAAAACTAAAAACTTTTATGTGCTGGGGGTGGGAATGGCTGGGGAGAGGTCAATGGGGGGGGGGGGGGGAAGGAGACACATGTAATACTTTAAACAATAAAGAATTAAAAAAAACCTTTTGCTCCACAAAGGCCACCATTAAGAAAATAAAAAGATGGCCTAGTCAGTTTGCTCAGTGGATAGAACATTGGCCTGTGGACTGAAGGGTCCCGGGTTTGATTCCAGTCAAGGGCACATACCTCGGCTGTAGGCTCCTCCCCAGCCCAGGCCCTGGTCAGGGCACGTGCAGGAGGCAACCAACAGATGTGTTTTTCTCACATCATTATTTCTCTCTATCTTTCCCTATCTCTTCCACTCTCTCTAAAATCAATGGAAAAATATCTTGAGTGAGGATTTTTTTTTTTAAAAAAAAGTAAAATAAAAAGACAATTCACACACTGGGAGAAAATATTTGCAAGTCGTATATCTAATAAAGGACTTATATTCAGAATATACAAAAAATTATAGCAATTCAAGAAGACAAAACTCAATTTAAAAATGGGTTTTTCAACAAAAGACTTGAATAAACGTTTCACCAAAGAAGACTCGAGCTCCTCCTCCACCATCGCGGTGTGCTCAGTTGACTCTCCTTCGCCATGTCTTCTCACAAGACTGTCAGGATCGAGAGGTTCCTGGCCAAGAAACAAGCAGAATCAGCCCATTTCCCAATGGGTTCGGATGAAAACTGGTAATAAAATCAGGTACAACTCCAAGAGGAGACACTGGAGAGAAACCAAACTGGGTCTATAAGGAATCGCACATGAGAGATGGCTCCCATATTTATGTGGCATCCAGGTTACCTGCACCTTTAAATGACTGAAAAGACCACTACTGTCTGGACAGTTGGACATTTTAATTGGGAAATTATTGGAACAATGATATTTCTCTGTTGATTTTTTTCTTCAGTAGTAGGTTGGTGCAGTAATAAATGAGACTTTAAAAAAAAGATTTAATAGACATTTCACCAAAGAAGATATATAAGTAACTAATAAACCCATGAAAAATTACTCAACATCACTAGCCATTGAGGAAATCAAAGATGAAACCATTACATATCCGTAGAATGGCTTTAACAAAAAAGACAGACAAAATACTATAGTGTTGGTGAGAATGTGGAGAAACTGAAACCCTCATGTATTGCTGGTAGGAATATAAAATGGTTCAGCCACTCTGGAAAACAGTTTGCCAATTTCTTTAAAATTTAAAGGTAAAGTTAACATGCGACCCAGCAATTTCATCCCTTGGAGTCGACCCATAACAAATGAAAACTATGTCTATAGAGAAACTTGTACATAAGTGTTCATAGTAGCATTATTCATAACAGCCTCAAACTGGAAACAATCCAAACGTCCATCAATGAGTGAATGGGTAAACAAAATGTGGCAAATCTATACAATGGAATACCATTCAGCAATTGAAAAGAATGAATTAGTTCTGGCTGGTGTGGCTCTCAGCTGGTTGGAGTGTCGTCTTGTACAACAAAAAGTGGTGGGTTTGATTCCCGGCCGAGATAGCACGCAACAAATATGCAACAAATTGATGTCTCTCACATCAATGCTCTCTCTCTCTCTCTCTCTCTCTCTCTTTCTCTTTCTTCCTCCCCCTTCCTTCTTCCCTTCCTCTCTCAAAGATCAATTTTTTTAAAAAAGGAATGAATTACTGATCATCTATGACTCTGATATGGATGAACCTGAAAAATTATGCTGAGTTAAAGAAGCCAGACACAAAAGACTGTTGTAGGATTTTGTTTATATGAAATGTCTAACAAATATGAATTTATAGAGACTGAAAACAGATCAATGACTGCCTGGGGCAGGAAATAGGAACAAAGAGCGACTTTAAATGGGCACAAGGGAATTTTTTATGGTGATGGAAATGTTCTAAAACTGGGTTGTGGTGATGGGTGCACAATCCTATACATTTATTGGAAGTGTTGAACTGTACACTTACAATGGGCGAATCTTACAGGTGGTTGTACACTATACAATTAAAGGCAGGGATTGCCTTCACAGGGTGCTTACTCACATGCCAGCTTACCTCAGCTCTACCCCTCAGCTCTGGCCTTGGCTGGAGGTGGCAATGGTGCCCACTGACCTTAGAGTCTCCTGAGACGCTGCAGCTGCTCTTGGGCACCAGACAGTGAGTGATAAGAATCCTAGGGTCTTTAGTGGTGATGGACAGGCCCTTCTGCAGAATCTGAACTAGTCGGATCCAGAAGTGGAAGACAGTCTCAGGATGGTCAGAGTGGAGTCTTAGATAGTAGATCTTCTCTGTGACCGTCCTCAACCGCAGGATGCGTTGGAGCTGGTCACAGACTTGGAGCTCCACGAACTTCAATGGGAGAATCCTGAAGGCATGAAGGAAGACACACATTGACAACCTCATTGCTTCTGATCCAACTCTGTTTTCATTAAAATGAGGAGTGTCACGGGGCCAGTGTAGCTCAGTGGTTGAGCATCGACCGATGAACCAGGAAGTCACAGTTTGATTCCTGGTTGGGGCACGTGCCTGGTTTGTGGACTTGATCCCCAATGGGGAGGGGGCATGAAAGAGGCAGCCGATCAGTGATTCTCTCTCATCATTAATGTTTCCACCTCTCTCTCCCTCTCTCTTCCTCTCTGAAATAAACAAACAATACATTTTTTAAAAAATGACGAGTATCTCCTTCAGGACTCAGGCTTTTGGGGGTGGGAATAGGGCTCAAACTTTGGGGAGGTCATGTTCACTTGGAGAGCTTGTTTAAAATGCAGACATCTGAAGATACCCCTCAGATTCGGTAGGTCTGGGTGTGCCCTTGAAACTACATTTTAACCTCCACCCATCCTGCCATGATTTTCATGCTGGTGTCCCAGGATCCTGCTTGAGACAGACAGCCCAGGAGTAGCTGGGGTCACAGGGTTTTCCATTTCCTTCTTGATGGCACCAAGGGAGCTATTCTCCTCTGCCACAAAGTTGGCCTCACTGTCCAGCCATTGACCCTATTGCCTCAATCACTGTTCCCAAAGGTGCTAAGGTTCAGGGAGCTGGCTTCGGGTTGAATATTGGTCAGCTGGGGCTGGGCTGTGCTTGCTGTAGGTACTCCAAAACATAATGGAGATGTTTAGCACTCAGGCAATATGGAGAAATGAAGAGTTTATCTGGATTTCTGAGAAGATCTAGAGATTCTGTTTTTTGTTGCTGTTAATCCTCACTTGAGGATATTTTTTCTTTGATTTTTAGAGAGAGTGGAAGAGAGAGGGGAAGACAGAGAGAAATATCGATGTGAGAGAAACACATTGATTGGTTACCTCCTGCACGCACCCAACCAGGGCCCACCCAGGCTGGGAAGGAGCCTGCAACCAAGGTACATGCCCTTGACTGGAATCAAACCCAGGACCCTTTGGTCCACAGGCCGATGCTCCATCCACTGAGCCAAACTGGCTAGGGCTAGAGATTCTTGAATATCCTACAGATTACTTGAAGAGGCTCAAACATTAAAAAGGGCTGTTTCTGCCCAGCCGGTGTGGCTCAGTGGCTGAGCATCGACCCATGAACCAGGAGGTCACGATTCGATTCTTGCTCAGGGCACATGCCTGGTTGCTGGCTCGATCCCCAGTGTGGGGCCTGCAGGAGGCAGCTGATCAATAATCCCCTCTTATCATTGTTGTTCCTCCCTCTCCCTTCCTCTCTCTGAAATCAATAAAAATATATTTTTTCAAAAGGGCTGTTTCATCCTAGACAAGCATGATGTGAGTATATATTACAGTTCTCATGACACTTAGCTCCACTCATTTTACTGGTAGGAAAACTAAGATGCATCAAGTAACTTATGACTCAGACAGTGTATGAGTCTCTTTAATTGCATGCCAAGGACTAGAACCTGCGGCTCCCAGCCTGTGCACCATCTGCCGGGTCTCACTGCTTTCTTGCCCCTTGGCAGAGAGATTTCCTAAGAATTCAGCGGGGTGAGTGCAATGAGAAGGAAAGGGAGCATGTAGATTGGCCCCTCATTGCTGTCCACACAATGCCTCCCTTTACCCCATCTGACCAGGGTGCTTGCAATGCGCCCACTGTCTTAGGTTACTGTTGCCTGAAAAATTAACGGCGCTGCTGCTGACCCCTCTGCTTCCTCCCGCCTTGGGTTTAGTCTCAGAGCAGCCTTTGCTCTGGGGCCACCCCCTTCCCTCGCTTGTCCTTCATCCCCAAGGGTGTCGCTCACCTCTTCAGGATGATGTTCGGCGCGGGAGATGGTCTGTTCCACGTCTGGCTCTGCCCCCGGTGCCATTTGACGCGGGCCATGAGGAGGATGTTGGGAAGGGGCAGGCAGGGCACGGAGGAGGTCACCCCGAGGGCCATGGTGTAGGCGGCTTTGTAGATGTTGATCCAGTTCCTGTCCTTTTTGACCTGCAAAGCAGCCCCACGGGCACAGCCTGAGATTTGGCAGAAGGAGCAACACATTTCAGCTGAGAGTTTCTCAGCTTCGGCAATATTCGCATTGCGGGCAGGGTATGCTTTGTTTGGGGGAGGGGCTGCCCTGTGGACGCGGCAGGGTGTTCAGCAGCATCCTCGGCCTCCACTTACTAGATGCCAGTAGCACAGCCCCCCACCCCGCCCAAGTAGTGACAACCAAAAATGTCTCCAGATGCAGCCAAATGTCCCCTGGTTTTAGAAGGCAGATTATCGCTAGGGGAGAACCACTGTTTTAAACCTATATTGGAGAAACAACTGTAATCGTATTGACACTACCTACTGTTAGCATCTGCCCACGAGAACTATCCCCCAGGAGTTCCCTGGCGTGCGGCACATTTCTGTGGATCCTCCCTAGACTGTCCCCTGGCTTTTCTTTGAAAAACGTCCTTCGGCCCTTCTTTGAGGGGCCCTAGAGTCTCCTGCACCTTCCCTGCTCTGTAAGGTCCCTCGTAATTCCCAGGAGCTGAGAAGAGAGCCCAGGCCGGAAACAAAAGTGCCCTGAGTGCCCCTTGTACCGAGGCCTTTGCCACCTGTGTGTGCATATAAGCCTCGTGCCGTTCGACCCCTTTCACATTAGAGGGCCCTGGGATTCAGGGTTGCAGGTCGCTTGCACAGTGATGCCTCCTGGACTGCACTCTGAGTCCAGGTCTCTCTGGGGCCCAGCTTTTGTTCTCTCATCAATCGGCATTTCTGTTCCACACCCTCAAAGGGCATCTTGTTTCACTGCCTCTCTGATCGTCTGCTTTGGGCTTCCTGGGGGAGGAAATAAACTGGGGGATTCAGATACCAAATCCTCCAATCAGCGCAGAGAACGCCTGGCCTCTATCCCAGGGGGATGACAACTGACTGCAGGAGAAGCCCTGTCTGGGGCTCTGCAAAGTCAGGGTCAAGTGGGGGTGGCCTTGTATCCCAGGCCCCCTGACCGCTCCTTGCCCAGTGCTCGCTCCACTCCAGTTCCAGGGACAGGCTCTCCTGGCCAGCTCTTGGGAACAGGTTTAGGAGGATCGAGGAGTGCCCGCTGAGTGACTCCGGAGTACCTGGACAAAGTTGCTTTCAAACACCACGGAGTCAGGGAACAGGTTGAATTCTGGAGAGTGAACCATCTGGCAGAGCAGTCCCTCCTCCACACCCAGGCCCACTCCGGGGGTTGGTTCTCCATCCACAGGCAAGAGGCCCCTGAATTCTTCCCAGGCATTCAGGGAAGAGAAAGTTGGATAGGATCTTGTGACTTTTACTGCTTTCGATTTCCACCAACTCTTTCTAGGTGGAGCTGATGACAACATTTCCGCACATGCTCAGGGGCTTGCTGCACATTTGTCCTGGGACCTCTCTCTGCCCTTCTGGCCTTGGGCAGCAGGCCAGGGCCTGGGACCGCCAATCAGCTCACAATGATGAATGGATGACATCATGAAAAACCAGGGCAAGCCTGCAGGAAAGGGAAGTGCGGAGGAGCCGCCCTCTTCCTCCAGAGCTTTGCTGGCTGCTTATGCCCTGACATTCTCCAGCCCTTCTTGGAACCCGAGGACCCCCAGAGCTTGCTGAGAAGGAAGTGAGCCAGGCAGAAAGGAGGGAGGTAGTGAGTTGAGAAGGAAGTGAGGAAGGTAGTGAGCTGAGAAGGAAGTGAGCCAAGCGGAAGTTGGGGAGCTCCTTCCACTGCTCAGAGGAAAATACCTTCCCTGCCTTTCAACCCTCCCTTACTCTTAATGCAACCCACCTGCCAAAGAGTTTTAAGAGCCGTTTCTGTAAAACCCAGCCTTCCCATGCTTTACATGATGTGGGCCCCCACACGCCCTGGTGTATCTGCAGTAGCCTTTTCTGGTTATGAAGGGAGTTGTTGGTGCCTCTCTGTGCTCTGCTATGGCTGGCTAGGTCCCTTAGGAGGTCAAACAGAAGGAGCAGTAGAAGGCATTCGTTTCTTACCCACAGGCTGGCTTTGTGAGGGTGCCAGCTGGGAGGAATAGAACCCCGATGAGCAGCTCTGCGGGATCAACAAGCCATTCCCCCTCTCAGAGTGACAGTGTTCCTCAGTCCTGGGCCAGAGGAAGAAAGAGCCCAAGTCCTGGGGTGGCTAGACCAGGGGCAAAGAACCAAGCTGACTGACCACTATTCAAGTCCATCTCAGGGAGAAACCGTACTCTAATTTGGACAAAATATCAGGATGTATTAAGTAATGGATTGATCATAGAGGTCAAATGTGATAAATTCAGAAAAGCAATTTGACAACCAATAGATGCGATGCACAAGCTTTAAGATTTATTTTGTATTTCATTATTAAGTCACCTGATTCTATCAGCCCCTCACTTGGTCATTTCTTTTTTTAAAATATGTTTTTATTGATTTCAGAGAGGAAGGGAGAGGAAGAGAGAGATAGAAACATCAATGACAAGAGAGAATCATTGATCGGCTGCCTCCTGCACACCCCCTTACTGGGGATTGAGCCCACAACCCAGACATGTGCCCTTGACCAGAATCGAACCCAGGAGCCTTCAGTCCGCAGGCGACGCTTATATTCACTGAGCCAAACGGGCTAGGGCAGTCATTTCTATTGTGCTCCTGCTCAAGCACCTGTACTAGCTCCCTGGTGGGTAAAGCAACTTCTGCACTCATTCCTTATTTTCTTTTGTTAACCATGTGGGGAAATGTCCTCCATGGTAACGTTCTCTAAGGATGAGGCAGAGACTATATCCTGTGGTTTACATTTCCTTAGAAAGACACAGTACAAAAAGTGATGGCAATTAATACATTGATATGATGCTTTCCACAGTTAAAGCTTACCACAACAGGAAAGCTTATTGGCGTAGATATGTGATTTAGATATATTTGGCCATTGAACATTCAAAAGGTCTCTTCCGTTGGGAAAATGTCTCTCTCCCTTTTCCATATAATCCTATCGAACCCACTTTGCAGTGTGTGGAGGAAGGCTTTATCTAGCACCAAGTCTAGAAAGCTAAGGTGAGGAGGTGGGCTCTTCACTCTAAACAAAATACTAAGCAGTGATAGAAATGGTGCTTTAAGATGTCTACCCCTTCTACCTGTTCCACCAAACCTCAAAAACTAGCACACTGCATCCTTTAAAAAAAACATTTGAAAAATACTTAATTGTACGTCCTATTATCCATCGTCTCCATTCCTTTACTAATAGAATTTCTCACTGGGCACAATATTTTAGAATAAAGGTGATTATTCCGGGTCTCCCTTCCAGCTAGGTAAGGCCATATGACTATGTTCTGGCAAAAGAGATGCAAGCTCCAGTGTTAGGTGCAGTTGATGTAAGGAATCATTGTAGGAAGGGGACGTGCTCTTATTCACACCTTGCTTTTTCCTTTTGGCTGGAATACAAACTTGAGGGCTGGAGCTTGAGCAACCCTTTGGTCATGAAGCAGCATGCTAAGGAGGGTAGCAGAGCTCCAGTTCTTTGATGATCATAAAACTATGATACTAGTCTGAATAAATTAGGATTTTCTGTTATATTGAGCCATACTTCAAACCAGCTGATACAACTACATAAAACTACTATCTACTCTTCTGGACCAATTTTACAGGAAATGATGGTACTATTTATCAATAATTCCAAGCAATGAAGAAATTATGGTTAATTTATGAGAAATTAAGACCTTAAGAATGACAGTGTTATAGCTTCTGGAGAAAGTTGTATATTTTCCAATGACAGGAGAGACTCATTGCTTTCCTCTTCCTATGTATTCAGTAATGTTGATGCTACCACAATTCTTGCCTTTTGCACATTTTGGTGATGAGCACTTTGGTGACTATATATTGGTTTGAGGCTAAAGTCACTTTGGCCTTCTCAGGTATCATTTCAATTGCTCAGGAATGACCAGGATATCTGTTTGTCAGTTGGGACTGGACCCAGGTTTTGTGTTTAAAGCTTATGCAACTTTGGAGATTATTAAAAATAAAAAGACTGGCCCTGGCTGGGTGGGTCAGTTGGTTATATTTAGCCAGACTTCAAACCAGCAGATACAACTACATACATCAAAAGGTTGCAGGTTTGCTTCCTGGTCAGGGCACATACCTAAGTTGTGGGTTCGCTCCCTAGTGGGGGTGCGTATGGGAGGCAACCAACCAATGTTTCTCTCTTACATCAATATTTCTCTCTCTCTCTTTCACTTCCTCTCTCTCTAAAAATCAATAAAAAGATATCCTCAGGTGAGTATTTAAAAAAAGATAATAATAAAAATAAAGACTGGAGGGAGGGGAGTATTAGAGTTGTTTAATGGGTACAGAGTTTCAGTTTGGAAAGATGACAAAGTCCTGGAAATGGGTGGTAATGATGGTTGCACAACAATGTGAATGTACATAATGCCACTGAAGTGTAAACCTAAAAATGATTAAAATAGTACATTTTACATGATGTATATTTTACCACAATAAAAAATGGTGGAACGTAAAAAAAATCAAAATTTAAAAATCCCACAACGTAGGACAAAAAACTGGCCCTTGGAAAGGCCCATGGGAATATGGGGCCCTGAAACTTAAGTTTTATGATCTTCATGGTAAAGCTGTTCCATTTAAATCTGTGTCACTATTTTATTTTATTTTTTATTTTATTTTTTTAAAATATATTTTATTGATTTTTTACAGAGAAGAAGGGAGAGAGACAGAGAGTTAGAAACATCAATGGGAGAGAAACATCGATCAGCCGCCTCCTGCACATCTCCTACTGGGGATGTGCCCGCAACCCAGGTACATGCCCTTGACCAGAATCGAACCTGGGACCTTTCAGTCCGCAGGCCGATGCTCTATCCACTGAGCCAAACTGGTTTCGGCTCTGTGTCACTATTTTAAAAAACTTTGTTACATAAGCAGAACATGTGCTCTGTAGAACATTAGAAAATACAGACAAGTTCAAAAAATAAACAGCATATTCCTACCTTCCAGAAAACATGACTGTAATAACTACCTATGTGTGTGTACCAAAATGGATCATACTCTAAAAAATGTTTTATAACCTATTTTATTCAGTCAACACTCTCTACATTTGTGTTTTGGTGTATTTTCATCTCATGTGATTTCCAGGCCATATCAAAATTTGTCAAATTAGCTCCAATTATTCTTATACTTGCTTTATCCAAATCAGTATCCAATCCAGGACCACAGTTCGCCATGCTTATTTTGATCTAGGACAGTCCTTTTTTAGGATCCTTACTAGTGGAAGCAATTGAGTCTCTTGTCCTACAGAATGACCCACCTTCTGGATTTGTCTGGCTATTTCCTGGTGGTATTTATCTTGCTTCTTTAGCAACTATATTTCCTGTGAAATAGAAGTTATATGTAAAGGGCTGGTGGATTCAGATATTGTTTTTCTTTCATTAAAATCATCAAGATTTCTTAGTATGGTGCTACTATGGGATCCCAAAGAATTTCAGTAGGAAAATACTTATAAAGAATACATATCAGAAGAAAAACAATTTCAAGAAATAGAATAAAGTCGTTGAAAAGCATCTTTTCTGTGCCCTCAAGGAAATTAAATACAACTTGAGGCCTTAGGAAACAACAACAAAAAATCAGAGATATCAAAATCAGATGAAAAGAGACTTGGGACTATAAGGAAAGAAACAGAAGAAAAACCCACTAAATATCTAAAAGTCACATTAGAATTTACAAGAAGTAGAGTTGACATGACAGAAAGCTGAATCAGTGACATGGATAACAGGCTTGAGACTAGCACACAGAACACAGTGAAGGGCAAGGAGATGACATCACTGGAAGGATAATGGTAAATCCGTAAGACATTTCTGTTGATCCAACAGATAGGTCGAGTCCCTGATGAAGAGGAAACAAATGGAATCGAAAAGGTAGTCAAACACATAAAAGAAAAAGCAATTTCTGAAACAAAAAGACTCAATTTGGCAAATGAATAGAATTTACTATATTCCAGGTAAACTGAACCAAGAAACCATTGAGACCAGAATATGTCTTGTAAAGTTCCTAAGTCTTAGAGATAACAAAAGCACCTTACTACGAACATCCAGATAGAGGAAGCAGATAATCTACCGGGGGAATAAAATGCGACTGGCCTCAGACTTCTTGTCAGCAGTTTTAGGTGGCATAGGACAATGGAACAATGTAGAGAGAATGTTGCAGAGGAAAGGATGTGACCCAATAATTCCATAAATGGCTAGAGATTTATTCAAGGATGAAAGTAGCAAAACTAATCTTAAAACTCTAAGTACACTAAGATGAGTAAATCTATAAGCTGGTTCTTTGAAAAAAGAAAAGTTAGACAAAGCACTAGCTAACAGTTTAATTTTTGAAAAGGAAA